AAAAGAATATGTACTGGTATACATAGGTTTTTGGCACATAATTTAATAAACAGCGCAGCTATACCACCGTGTCCTGGTCCCTTGGTAGAGTCAAGATTTCTAGGTTGTAACTCAATGTCAGAAATTGTAAAATTCAAATCAGAAAACAACGTAAAATTATTAGAGCAAGAAGTTGGCGGTGTCCGGTTGCCTGCGAATGTCTGAACATTGGTCCTGAAAATATACTTGTGCAGGTATACTGGATTTAATTTGGCGGTTATTTATGTATGACCAAAAGTATTTCACATTTTTACAGATTGAGTTTTCCTTTGATAAATATTTGGCGTAACAAGCCTCGCGTGCTAGTTTGAGTCTGGCCCTGTATAACGAAAATACCTCATAATCAAATTTGAAAGTGCTATCAATGTGTAGTTTTACAACATGAGGTGCGAATACCTTAGGTGTATAATGATACAAGAAAGAGGCGCAACAGAGCTTATGTCCAACCTAGTCAAAGCATGAAAACTACCCACAACAATACCAATAGCACTTACGTGGGTTAATACTGATGCCAAACTTACTCGACCAATCATCGATACGCCGCAGATCTTAATTAAGCGCTAGTATCGCATCATCCAAGCAGTTCCACAATTAAATCCACAATTCTCATCATCTGCATACAGATGGTGAGAATTGTGGAGGATAGGAGAAATTAAATTGATGAAAACGGAGAACAATAGAGGGGAAAGAATTCCACCTTGGGGCAGACCAACCTCTAGGTCTGACTAATTAGACAAGGAGTCTTTAGCTCAAACCGCTTGCTTGCGCCCTCGAAGATCTGAATAAAACCAGTCCAGTTCCGGAGGAGAGATTCGCAGATAAGCAAGGATAGCAAGAAGGATATCATGGTCAAAAGCATTGAAGGCGTTAGAAAAATCAATGAGGACTAATACCGTTAACCGTGAATCCGCCATGCCCTCCCGAATGTCCTCTGTAACTTTCAGTAACGCTGTCGTGGTATTGTGGCCAGGCCGAAAACCAGACTGATACTGGTCGAGGACATTATTTCTAAAAAGGAAAAATGATAGTTAGCGATAAACATTCGCTTCAAGAATTTTTGAAAGGAAAGGTAGTATAGAAATTGGCCTAAAGTGTTTAAGGGTTGTGGGATTATTAATCTTGGGAAGATGCGTCCTGCGCCAGTTCTTAGGGAACGTACCATATGAGAGGAATGAGTTGATATTTGTGTCTTCCTGACGAA